TGATGATGATGTCATCAGGTCAGATTGAGTTAGACCTATCGGACTGCGCCATCTAGAGTTTCATGCCAGAACTCTGTATTTAAGCCTGGCCAGTTTAAACATTCAAGACACGAATGAGAAGATCAGTGTGCGCGCTCATCCAAACCCGTGTCTCAGAGAGCGCGCAAATACTGAGTTCTCTTGCAAGACTTGTGCTTGAATGGACAAATTCACACAAAAATGATGTCAATATGCCCGTTTTAGTGAGTTTGTAACAGACCGAGTCGGTTGAACGCATAGAATCAGTGTACTGGATCCGTGCATTGTCTTAAAGTTTTTAATGTTATCAAACAACAAAAGACAGGGAAATCACTCACTGCTCTTGACTGAATAGCTTTTGTAACTTTAATAAGGATTCAATCAAATATACAATGTTATTTTACATTTGATTACTTTATTCAGTTTCTGTACTTAAAAACTAATGTTAGTTAGTAAAACCTGAAAAGCACTGTTTATTTGATTTATCTTTCCTTGGTTGTATTTATTTGTTCTGTTGCTTGTAGTTAGATTATTTGTTCTTATTTTCTTTATTTTTATTTGACAGTATAGTTATTTTTCCCTAAAAAAGCACACTGAACTGTGAGTAATTTGAACCGTTACACCCCTAATTTCAGTTAATGTTTATTTTATTTCAAGCAGGGTTATTGTAATGAACTAAAACTAAATCTAAATCTGAAACCACGAAAAGCATTTTTGTTAGAAAATAAACTTTAACTGGAATTAAATAAAATAAAATATAAAACACGTATTTTATTGCAGCTACTTGCCAAGGCAAATTTTATATAGTTTAACTCTAAGTGCTAAAATAACTAAAACTAAAACTGAAATAAAAATATATTATTATTATATATTTTTAATATTTTATTATTACATTTATAATATCATAATAAACTATACAGAAAGATTTAAAAGAAACAAAAACTAATACAAATGACAAAAACACTACAAAAATTAAAAGGAAAACCAAAAATATAACATATAATAGCATCTCAATGATACTAAAACACCAGATTTCAAGATACATAAAATGTTTTTATGGTTTCAGTTTTAGTGTGAATCTGTCTTGCTATGTTTTTATGAGCTCATATTAATTACATAAAAATATGAAATGATTTGTACACTGCAGGACTATTTAAAATATTGAACGCAAAATGTTGATTAAAAATTACGCAAATTCAACAAACACTTTCCCTTAAACATCTTCACAATTCTGCTGTCACATTATGCATCAACTATCCCAAACTTTCAGTTATCTCATGTTTGCGGTCTTTCATCTGCATTTACATGAATGCAATATAATTCAAATGCAAAACAGTCTTGAATAGAAACGACTCAGAATTGTTGGATAAGCATGTATATTTATCAGAGCTCACCTGTGTGAAGCACGCTCAGTGAGTCTTCAGATCAGCGATGAGAATTGAACACCACGTCACCTGCAACACGTTTATACCTGCTGTGTTCTGAGTGGGAGGAGCTTATGCACAAGCAGTGATGTCACTGGCTGCGTGGAAACTCATTTCCTGTTCCCATTAAATCAACTTCCCTTCCCTGTTCACTAGTCGTGCTTCACTGCAAACAACTGCTGCAAAATCATGACTTAAATAGCAGTCTGCTGTGTTTTAGCATGAATTCTGAGAGTTTATTGTAGAATTGATCAAATCTGTAACTGTTATGATACCAGATGAGTCTGTACGTTATTGTATAATTATGATAAACACACATTCTGTGTAATTATTTAATGAGCATTTGGGAGTTTTTGATTTAATAAAAGCAGCAAGACACTGATTTCACTGCAGTGTAATTTTACATAGGCTAGTAATCATTTCACATTTTGGAAATAAAATTAAAATATCACTTTAAATCAGCTTTAATTGTGCAGGCATGAAATATTAGCCCTCGAGTTCGTTGAAAGGTAAAAGCAAACAGGTGTATCAGCATTGTGCTGCATGATAAAATCTTTGGTTTCACTATCAAATTAAATTAGAAGCAAGAATACTAAGAATGTTTGTAATGTCAGATCTTCATAATAAAGTGTTGATGAAGTGATGTATTCCTGTTTCCCTCCTAAAACCTGGCGTTATTTACTGTATCATTTACAACAGTAAATACTAAATACAGTAAATATTTTTGTTTTCTGGCCAACATATTGTAAATACATGTTAAATATATGTTGTAAACTGATGTTAAATTAAAATTGAAAATACATCTAGTTACAACATTCATAAACCAAAATATATTTCAAAATGTATTTTAGGGGCAAGAAAATCCATTTCCAATCTAAGAGTATAGCCTATGCTTGTCTAAATGCAAATGTGGATGGAATAGGCCACTACAGATCAAAAACAGATTTACAATGATTCAATGATGTTTTAAAACAATTTTTTTCAAATGCGTTAAGTTTGCATTATAGACAGCAAATAAAGTTGTGACATCAATGCATTTTCTTAGATTGAAAATATACGGAGGGCAAAATAAATGTTTATATTTACAATATTTAAAAATATATATTATATTTGTAAAATATATTTTCAAAAATGTACAAAAAATGGTTAAAATATATTGGTTATACACACACACACACACACACACACACATATATATATATATATATATATATATATTTTTTATTTATTTTTTTTAAATAAAATAATGGTGTTTTTTAGGAATTAAAAATAATCTGATTTTGGAGTTTGACAATGAACACATTGCAACCATGGTTGGGACGGCCCACATAAACGAGCAAAAATGCTTTACATGTCTTGAAATAATAATTTCTAAACATTAAACATTGA